TTCAATTAGTAACAGAAAATACCAAAAATTTTTAGTTATACTAACTTCTTAAACCTAATTAGAAATTATCAAATTAAAAATTGACTCTTGTGCATATATTATTGTCAAATTAGGTGCTGATTAAAGGAAACATCTTGTGATGGTACATGAATAGGAACCCACTTGTTAGCACGTAGTCCTTTGTTTTGTTTTATTTTCCTTTTATAATAAAACTAGTAGAAAACCCGTGCGGAATAAATTTATAAATATATAGTTAATTTTGACAAATATATGTGTATTAGAGTTAAATGTAAGACAATACAATTAAAGTGAAAGAAATATAAATTAAGAAAATAGAAATTGAATATGAAACAACTAATATAACTAAATGAAATGGTAATGTTGTCAAAAAAGGAGTAAAGTAATAATATATAGTAAAAGAGAAGTAGTACAACAAAATGTCATGTAACCGATGTTGCAAAATAATGTGTCTGTTGGAGTTGATATCACAATGTTGACTTGTAAAAAAAAAATTAGAGAACAATTGGATCATTTTTCGTAATGGAAACTTAACCAAAGAAAGAATATGATTGTTATACCTTCTAAATATTGTGGAAAACTTCTTTGAATATAACATTAGTGGTAGTAGCAGCGGTATTGTTATTTTTATCATGAATCAAAATTTTAAGACCTTATTTTATCTTAACTCAGGACATTGCGACATACAACTGACCATGACTAAATACATCCTTTGGCAGGTATAAACCAACTACGTCTAACGATTGGCCTTGTGATTTGTTAATTGTCATAGCGAAAGAAACAATAATGGGAAATTGTCTTCTCACTAACTTAAATGGTCATGGTGATTGAGAGGGGGACAAAGACATTCTTGGAATATAAATGATGTTACCTATATTCTTTCCTGAAATGATCCTAGCTTCAATAACATGATTAGTCAACCTTGTAACTGTGAGCCTTATACCATTGCATAAACCTCCCGATTAATCTAAGTTTCTCATCAACATAATAGTGGCACCAATGTTCAACTTTATAGAATGATTAGGCAATCCAGAAGTTTTAAGAGCATTTAGAAATTCAGTAGTTAAGTGCTGAAATGCATCAAAGTCGGTTGTTGTTGATCTATCAATAGAACCACTACTAAAGTATTCCTTTTCTTCTCCTAAAAGAAAGAAAAAAAACAGACAAATGATTCAATAAATAAAAAATGAAGTCAAAAATGAAATTAGCATGAAAACAACTTCACGACATGTATAGTACCTGGAAGAAGATTTGTGATATATTGATTAATCTCATCGACAACTTCAATTGTTGAAGCCAAGATAGCACGACTTTGTAAAAAATTGGGGTCATGGTAGTTATGAATGAGATAGGGATATGTACTATCAACAATAGCCTTAATAGGATCTGAAAAATTTGAAATTAAAAACTCTGCAGGAATATTAATTTCAACATAACCATCATTAGGCTCACCCATGGTACCATCTCCAATTGATAAAATCCACTCAGAAAATATACGAACTTCTTCAATTTGATTTGAAGTTGTCCCACTTTGTAGGCGCATATTTTTTGTAAGTTTGAGGACTTTGCACTGATCCCAAATATAAGAAGAATTAATAGTTGAATGAATAATATCAAATCTACTACCTCTTGGAACAACGGGAAGGATTTGTCTAAAATCACCACCAAAAATAACTACTTTGCCTCAAAATAATTTATTTGCAGCATGTGGAAATTCACTCATAATGTCTCTCAAGGATTTTTCAAGAGCCTCAAAGCAAAATCTATTAGCCATCGGAGCCTCATCCCATATAATAAGATCTGTTATCTTTAAAAGCTCAGCAAATTGATGAATGCAAAGTAGGGACATGTATCTTAAACCTAGAATGTGTTGTTCTTCCACCTGGTAACAACAGACTTGCAATTCCACTTGATGCCACAGGCAATACAATTTTATATTTAGAACAAATAGCAGCAGCGAGAGTGTTCCACATAAATGTTTTACCTGTTCCACCATAGCCATATAAAAAAACACACCACCATTTTGTCTTTCTACGACATCCATGACATCAAAGTAAATGTGTTTCTGCTCATCTGTAAAAAACGTCATGTGACAATATGTTTCAAAATGAGAATTTAAAGCTTTATTAGACATTGACTACAGTAAATGCCATCGAGGGAATCAACTATAAATAATATAAGTTATAAACAATAAGTATTGTATTTATCAATATAATAGTTCTAAGCATGAAATAATTTGGAAAAATATATAGTTTACGAATGTAATTTTACCTGTAAGAGATGAGAAGAAAGTATAAAAAATAATTTTTTGAGCCTTTGAATCATATTGCCTTTCTTCATAAATCAGACGGTTTCCAAGTAAATAAAGTACAAAGTCATTTGGATATGGCATTGTCTTGAAATCTTTCAGACTTCTATTGTTCTTTTGTAACTGAGTTTCTATTTCAATCAGAGTAAGTTGTTTTAATTCTTCATCAATAAGTGTTAATCCTAATGAAGATAAAACAATACAGTGTCAATATAACAATTAACTTGTGAATAAAAGTAAGAAATTGAAATTCATATAGGGTGTACCTGGATTTCTTGTTATGACACATTTACTGTAAAGAATACCATCAGCTAAGTAGTTCCATGTTTGATTCCAAACATGCTCAGGTCTATTCATTGATGAAGATAGCAACATCGTAAAAAATAAATTTCTTAGAAATAAACCAGAACCCCACTGATGCGCCTCCTTTAAAGCCTCAATAAATTCTCTATCATCTTGTAGAAATCCCATTGTAAAACATGCTTCTCTAAAAGAGTTATGTTGTGAACCATCGATATTTTAGATGTCTTCATAACTTGTTGGTCCTTTCTTAACAGTAAGCATCGATCGTAAATAAAATAATTCACCTGTGCTTTGAGGAACCCAAATGAGATGACCAATTGTATACCCTTTTTTTCTAGGCTTCCAAGTCCTAGTTTCCTTTTGGTAAACAAATTTTGTCACAAAATCACTATATGTCAACAACTTAGCTTCATCATATTTTTTGTTCGCTTCAAACCATGCAGTAAACATAGATTCTGTAACACTTGGTTTGAGTAGAACATTACCAATTTGCTCAAAGTCTTTGTAGTAAACAGAATTCTCACCTTCCATGTGAAAAAATAGTCTTTCCACGGCTGATTTCCTACCATGTATAGAATAAGAGAAAATCCTCCAACATGCCTCACTCAGGGAAATGTATCTACAATCAAGATATCGCTTGATCTCATCAACATTCTTCTTCTTACCACCAGACATATCAGCTGAAGAATGAATAGCAGCAGAAATTTTATCTGAACCCTTGTTAATATACTTGAATAAGTATTTAATCAAAGTACTTTGGTTGCACCATTCCATGTTGATGTGCGCCTCGTACTTCAACAATAAACTTGGGTTGTGAGGAACTACATGTCCGCTATGAAGAATGATTCCATTTTTGTCAATTGTGTTCCCGTTATCTCTTCTCCTATAAAGTGGATAGCCATCTTGATCAACTATGGTTGTTGACTGAAACTTTTTTGGGTAATACTTTGAACATTTTCCATCTTTCATGCAAGGTGAACTTTAATTTGCCAATCCACAAGGTCCATGAACCATATGATTTTTAACCAAGTTGTATAGCTTTGGTTCCTTTATAGGATCAGGGATTTCAACACATATAATCTTGTCAATATCTTCAGGTCTTGGATATTTGTTAGAAGGATGCAAGAATATCAATATATGTGCATGTGGCAACCCTCTCTTCTGAAACTCAATGGTGTACATATCTACAAAAAAATCAATAAGTAAAAAGTAATTTCTAATATTGTGTAACAAATTGAAAAGTTACGGTGAGAAAAGAAAACATACATGCAAGCATTTTGCCTAACACTCCCCTTTTTATCAAATCTGATAGTAGCTGATCAAACTTGATTTTAAATATCCTCGAAATCACATCAGGACGATCTTGGGATTTTAGTCCAAGAGGTCTAAGTAATCTTTGTATTTCAGGCCAATTTGGATTGCAAGTAAATGTTACAAATAAATCAGGAAACCCTACCTTGCTAAAAATAGCCATTCCATCATAGTACAATTGATCCATAAACCTCCTTCCACCAACATAAGTAGAAGGCAAAACCACTCTTTTTCCTGTTGAAGAACCACGTGTTTCACTTTGTTCACCCACTTCAGTAAGACTGTTGTATTTCGACACCCTTAATTTGGGTTGATTTTCACGAATCCATTGAAGTCTTTCAGACTCTAACATTGTGTAACCATCAACTAAGAACTGTTGAAAAAGCCTTCTTGAAGACAACAAAGTTTTAGCCTCAAATGATCTGATCTGAATGCGAAATGCTAGCCACTCTCTAATTGTAAGTTTATTTCTCTTGTTGTCTTGGAATATGTCTAAGTCTCGATGAGCTATGTTTGGTCTATAACCATCTTCTCCATAAGGGAAAATTAAAGGATATTGATACGCCAAGTAACTTGCATGGAGCTCGCTAATTCTTTGTAACTCTCCACCTTTAGTTTGCATGATGATATCCCTCATTTTCGCTGTATCAAGATCACCAACTAGCAAAGCAGCAACCTCAAAAATAGTAGGTTGATTATATACTCTTCCATCTGTTGATCTATTAGAAATGAGTCTTAATTTCAGGTTTTGGGTATCTGAATTCAATAACCAATGTTTGGCCATTTGAAAACTTTTGGCATGAGGGTTATGTTCGTAGAGCATATCTGACAACTTTTGTACAATTACTGGATCAATGTTTTTTGTGTTCCTGTAATTGTAAATGTTTTATTATGTCAAATATAATATAGAGCAGTATGAAAGGAATAAATTGCAACATATGAAGTGTATAATTTATGGTAAGAAAGTAATGTATGTGAAATAGTTATACCTCAAACCCTGCATTCTGTTATGAACCTCATTTTATGTGTCAAAAATATATAGTTGTGCAAATTTAGGAGGTTAACCTTCTGGTGGAAGCAAACTTCCAATACGATGACATGATTGACCTTGAATTTGCAAAGTGGGTGGTCCACCTCCATTGTTAAAACGGTTATCCAACTTTGCACCTGGTGATGTGAAGGAAAACATCATGTTATAAATGCGAATTTGTTGTTGAAACTTTCTGCTAACTATATCTTCATCAAAAAGGAGATGTGCTAGTAAAGGAGGGGGTTGTTTGAGTAACGGTAGTTCGACCTTTCCGTTGCCACAACACAATGAAAATTTGGGATTGGCTGAATGAGAACTTTTGTTCATTCTCTCTTGATACCACATCATGGCTTTACAATAACGACACTCAACTAATGGATCACCAATGTCGTAATATTCTAGAAAAAATATAACGTATTATATAAGAAAAGTAATGCCAATATATAAGTATGCATTTAGAATAAGAACAACCTTCAGACGATGTTTGAGAATTCCCATTAATAGAAAAAGGTGCATGGTATTCCTCAAAATCATAATTGGAGTCATCGTCAGATTGATGATCTAAAAGAAAGTGGAAAAAAGTCGTTAAAATTAGAAAGTTATGAAAAAGTTGAAGAGAATTGAAAACAATAGCCATGACGATTGAATATGTATTAAGAAAGATTAAAACCAGAACTAAGAAATACAGGTTGAACATTAATTTTATATAACTTACTTGCGAAAGGATCTATGTCAGAGTCACATTCTGTATCGCCATTGAAATCTTCATTTGTACATGGTGTAAAAGTAGAACACATTTGTTGGGCTTTTGGTTCAGAATTGTCGAAATGCAAGGCAGAATGTTGGTCCATGTCAAGAAATCCGTTAGAGCCTTCTATATACCTTTGGCAATTTGGTTAAGACAGTATTACATACGGTGAGGATCCAGGTTGCATGACAGATGTATCACGAACCGTATCATAATGGACTTCGGCAACAGGTCTTGTTAGATTCATTGCTAGATGTGGAACTCCCAAAGATTTTCTTGGACGACCTCGACGGGTTTTAACAGTCGTATCATTGCTGGAAAAGTACCCAATATGAGACGCAGACCATGAAAATTTGTTAAACATATATCAATAGAATGTAGGCCGTCAGGATATCATCAAAGAACGCAAAAATAGGTATAAGTTATTGTCAATATGAACCAGCCTTGTAATATCTCAGTTTTCAAAACAGAAATCTAAGTAAGATAACATAAATTGCTGATGGACATTGCATTGTGAAAATGTATGCATCATGTGTTTGAAACAGACAACACCGTAACTACCTAGAGCTGCTAAAGTGAAGTTATAAGTTGTATACCTCAATGTGATATTCAAGGCTGGTTCAATGAGATGTGAAGGTGTAATTGGTTCTTGAAAATGATGAATTTGCAAAGCCAAATTGGGTTGAGATTGATGTTGTTGCGTGTTGAATTTGCGTGGTCTTCCACAAGGTCGTTTGGTTGACTGTGATGAGCTATGACAAACGAAAAAAAAGTAACAACATGAGTGTTATAAGTCATCTTCACTGGCATGGTCAATTAATAGCAGCATACAAACCAAAATCGAGTTTCTAACCTCGTGCCGATTTGTTGCGGTTTGTCTGAAACATTTAGGCCATCCAACATTATTCCACGACCAATTGAGCATGCACGTGTAGTAGTTCTGATCATAATTAAAATATATTACAAACATTAGGCAGTGTCAAGCATAAAACAACAGCTGATAGTGCATCCAATATCAAATGGAGACCATGAAAATTTTTGTATCCGGGAATTATTGATTGGGAGCTTGTTTCTTTTCTTTGTAATTAATATATATTCAAAAAATTTATATATGAAACAAAACCATAGATGAACTTACTAAAAGTATATGATAGGTTGCAACTCTAAATAGAGTCCATTGTGAAAAATAGTAAGTCATAAAAAATTTATCTTACTCAATATATGTCAAAAAATGTTCAACTGATAATTCCAACTATATATAGTACCTAGCAGAGTAAGTTATGTCATCAAACTGATAATTCCAACTATATATAGTACCTAGCAGAGTAAGTTATGTCATCAAACTAATAATTCCAACTTTCATCAATCAAATACATGATGAACAAACTTTTTCTAAGTTTTATTTTTTTTTATCCTTACTTTTAATCTCTGCTGCTCAATATGAATTTTTCATAATGGCAATGCAGTGGCCTCCTGCTTACTGGAGGATCAAAGGAAAAAGTCGTGTCCAGAAACCAAGCAGGTTCAGCCTTCATGGCATGTGGCTGGCATACACAACAGGTTCTGAGCCAAGTAGGTGCTCCAATGATCCAACAAAGATAAGATAAATCAGAAAAATGGTGAGTTTATTTATTATAAATATAAAGTTTTTTCAGTTCTTTCTTTTACTCAATTATACTTGACTTGATTTATTTGTTTTTTATCAGATTTCTACAACAAAATTAGCTGAACTTCCTACTTCATGACCAAATTTAGAAGGAGACAATTTTAAATTTTGAAAAATGAGTAGTTTGAACATGGAAAATCATATATTTTAAGAAAATCATATATTTTCTTGATTCCCTTGAAGTAGTTCAGTTAGTAACAGAAAATACCAAAATTTTGTAGTTATATTAACTTCTTAAACCTAATTAGAAATTATCATATTCAAAATTGACTCTTGTGTATATATTATTGTGAAATTAGGTGCTGATTAAAGGAAACATCTTGTGATGGTACATGAATAGGAATCCATTTCTTAGCACGTAGTCCTTTGTTTTGTTTTATTTTTCTTTTATAATAAAATAAGTAATATTATTTTATTCTAAATTGAGAAAGTAAGCGTAATGGAAAAACAAATACTAATAATATCTTCATTATTTCGTCCAAAATAAGTAACCGATCAAGTTAAGTGTCCCACTCTAAAGTGGTGGAGCCACATAGTGTAACCGATATCGCTGACGTGGCAGACTACAATTTCCCAAGCCGAACCAATTCAATGGCACATACGTAAATAACTTCAAATCCACATGCAATCTTACAAACATTCAAACTCCACCCCAACCGTTTTCGCTCCAAAAAACCACTCTCCCTTATATAAAACTGTTACCATTTCTTTTCTTCCTTAACAAAAAAACTCAACATGAAAATGTTCCATTTCCGCATAAGCAACACCGTAGTCGGTGCTCTCAACATACTCTCTTTAGTCCTCGGCCTCGCCGCCATCGCTTCCTCCGCCTACATCCACATCCGCGGCGGTTCCGACTGTCAAAAGGTGCTTCAGTACCCACTCCTAATCGGCGGTATATTCGTCGTCATCGTGTCCGGACTCGGAATCGCAGGATCTCTATTCGGAAACAACACGGCACTCTACAGTTACCTTCTGGTGACATTCTTGGTTGTGGTCGGACTTGCTTTCTTCACTGTGTTTGCTTTGTTTGTCACCAATAGAAGAGTGGGAAAACAGATATCTGGTAAAGGATATGGTGAGTATAAAGTCGCTGATTTCTCTCACTGGTTGCAATATTATGTTGTGAATGAAGAGAATTGGGATGAATTCAAAAGCTGTTTGATGGATGCTCATGTTTGCCAGAATCTCGCCTTCAATGGTGGTCGGAATAACGACTCTCTCATCTTCAAACACTTGTCCACAACCCAGGTTTTTCCAACTTCCATTATGATTATTATAAATTTTTAAATAATTGCATAAAATTTTGTAACATGTATTGTTTTGGCAGACCGGGTGCTGTAAGCCACCGGTGTCTTGTGGGTTTACGATGAAGAATGCTACGTTTTGGGAAGTGCCGAAGTCGGGTTTGGCTGCGAATAACTCTGATTGTGCCATATGGAATAATAGACAAGACAAACTGTGTTATGATTGCAATGCATGCAAAGGAGGAGTGTTGGCTAATATAAGGAACCAATGGAGACATTTAACTGTGTTCAATGCTGTTGTGCTTGTACTTGTTACTGTCATTTATGCGATGGGATGCTATGTCATCAGGAACAACAGAATGGATTCGCGCATCCAACATCCTTAATTAGTTTATGTCTTAAGTTTGTTATTTATGTTAGTTTTTAAAGTATGGTAGTCTTTAGGGTTTGTGTGTGTTTTATATGCTGTTGTGAAAGTGCTTTGGTATTTTGGATCTCTAGAAGTTCAATTCCACTTGACTTAACTGTTTTAATTTTGCATAGATTTGTTTTTGTGCTCTATATTTCTATATTTTTTTCTTCATTTCTAACCTACTTTTTGTATATTTGTTTTGAAAATTTTGAATCTAAGCGGTTATCAATGTTTGAGATGACATTGAATTGTGTCGTGTTAACTATATAAAATATAAAATAAAAAACCTTTGTTTAAATAACTTTTGAGCCATAGGGTTCAAAAGATATTGGGATATTTTTATAATAGTGCTATGGTGATGCTATTCTTCCGTGCCTTTGACGGGAGCATTTGGCACAAGTCTTGAACAAAATTATTTGCCCACACTCAGACTTGACTACTTCATTGATATTCTTGGTGAAGTACCTCTCTAAATATTAAAAATATCAGGTTTGCTAGTTTAACACTAAAAATCACACACTCAAAGTTACAAAGTATGAATAAAAAGCATATACATGTGTTTGTTTGTGTCAAAATAAAGTAAAAATAATAATTAAATATTAGAAAAATACAAAACCGTATGATTATATGGTGTAAGTGTAAAAGGTTAGGGTAAAAATAACATTACTCTAAAAATATCTAATGTTTGGGAACAAGGTTGTGAGTTTTGTGCTCCTTGTACGGAAGTATTTTTAAAATTATACAGATCAATCACTACACCAAAGTAAAAAAATAATAGCACCCTTTCAACAACATTAAAATTTAAAAACGTTTTAAAAACCCAAGAGTCTTTTAGATAGGAGTGGTAAAGTGAACGGTCTGTCCCGTTTAAACTCATTCTGTTTAAGTTCGTTCAAAAGCGGAGTCAGACGGAACAGACCAACTTAAGCGTCTAATCTCAAAAGGCAAGTCCGTCCCATTTACTAATGAGTTGGTGTGTTGGTGGGTCGGTCCACTAATTTTTTATTTTTTTATTTTACAATTTGATTTACTACATCACATAAACTCTAGTATTGACTGATTCATTAATAGTTAAATCTTAAATTTGTCACACGTATACACTAATCAAATCCTTTCTTTTCTTAAAATTAACATCTACTTTTAAAGGAACTGTGTTGTTTTTATAGTTAAAGTTGTTTTAATTCTAATTTAAAAAATAAAATAAAAAACTTTAACAAAAAACATGTGGGCAAAATCTGCCCCGCCCCGCCTCGACCCGTTTTTCAAGCGGGTTAGGCAGTGCAGACCAACTTAAAATACCGAGCCGAAAACCTCAGCCCAACCCGCCAAAAATGGCCAATCAAATGGGACGACCTGGCAGATCCGATCTGTTTTGCCACCCCTGCTTTTCGACGACATTTCAACGTTGTTGTATGTGTAAAAAAAAATAAAAAAAAAATATTATGTTCTTATTTAAAGCAGTATTCAAAAACAAAAGTGTTGTCTAATCTTCAACACAATGAGAGACGTGCCAATTGAGAAAAATAATTGAAAGTAGTAGGAAGTGTTAGTGCGTGAGACAATTTGAGTGAGAGAAAGAATAAAAAAATAATTGATAAAATTTTACAATTATGTGTATGTTATTTGTATATTAAGTAAATGACATAACAAATCCTAACCCTAACTAACATGGGTTTAAGCTACAACTTGAATCATATCGGGACATACTCCCTTATAATCCAAGTTGTCGAACACAAACTAGTCGATCTGAATTATTTCTAATTTCTTCCTCAAAGTTAGGAATCGGTCGATCTTCGATCCTTTAATGAAAATGTTAGTTAACTGTGTTTCGCTCGAACAATGTTGTTAGATGCCAAACTTTATTATTTGATCTATCAAATGTTAGCATCTTTCATTTTTTTGTAGAGAAATTGAATTGAATCATTCTTGTTTTTGATGATATGCTTCATTGTGTGAAAATGTCTTGGTTGCTTTGATTTGTGTGCTATTGTGCAGGAATTAGACATGAAAACATGAAGAATAAGACACAAGAATTGTGACAAGGAAACCAAGTCAGCATGAAAACATCAACAAGTTCGCACAGCGAACTTGCTAGCGAATCTACCCAGAAAAACATCAACAAGTTTGCATAGAGAACTTGCCAGCGAAGGCCTTGGAGAGCATGGTACTGTTCATACAGAAAGAAAAGGAGTCTAAGTTCGTTGTGCGAAGGAGCTAGCGAAGAGTTTGCTGGAGCAAAGAAAAAGCGAGTGCCTAGCGAACACCCTCAGGCTTGAGGCAGTAAGTATTTGGACAAGAATTCGTTGTGCGAAGTCTGCAGCGAAGCCTTCGCACTGCAAAGGATTCTTCGCACATAGAACACGTGGAAATAGCTCAGGGGCTTTTTCACTGTACACTGGCACTTCAACTGCCATTTTTTATTGTTCGCAGTACAAATATGAGAGCTCAGCAGCATGTCTATAAGTAGCATGTACTACTTTTTGCCAAAATATCTTTTTTCTTGTACCTTCCTTAGTTAGAGATTTTTCAGAGCAAAAACCCTGGTTTCTCCGTTTTCATCATCTCTTAGCCATCTTTCACAAAAAGAAGATGGATTCCCATCCAATCTCGATTATTTGACTCGGATGTTGATCAACCTTCTTCTGAAAATTGTTGCTCAAGCTATCATGAAAATGGGTGGCTAAAACCCCTCTTTTGTCAAGGTTAGAGGTAGCTAGTTCTGATTTTATGTATTCTTCTTAATCTTTTGTATGTGAACAAGGCTTTGATCAATATAGACGAAGTTATTTGTTATCTTTTGTTATATTTATGGTTTTGATTGTTTTAAACATGAACTTTTTAAGTCTTGACCAAATTTCTTCATTTATCAACTATACAAACTCTAGACATAGATTTAGAAGTTGATATTTTCATTGTATTGATCTTAATGATTATTGTTTTGAGTGTTATTTACATAGATGAACGTTTTTGCGAGGATACACGATTATGTTGGTTAAAACTAAGTTCACATATTTGATTGGTTGAATACGTTTATGACAGATTAGTGAACCCTAATCTTGGCATGCTTTTTAATCAAACTAAAACCTAATTACTTTGTTTTATTTCTTACAAACTCTTGTTACAAAATAGAAACCAATTAAAAAACCCCATCCTTAAATCATTAAACCATTGAATGGAAAGCATCAAATATTCTCATCAATCTCAGTGGATACGATAAAACACTCCCAAAAATTACTTTTAACAAATGTTTCACTTCAATTTCACTCTGGTTTACCTTCTCCCTTAGGGAACGAAACCTATATAGCTTCAATTTGCTTACTCCATCCATGCAGAACTGGATTTTTCACAAAAATTAATGACTGACTTGTTGTCGATATGAACCACCAGAAGTTTCTTCACGTCAACTTCCATCTCTTCCAACACAGATCTGATCCAAATTTCTTGACAAGAAACATATGATTTTTCTATATATTTAGCCTCACACGATGATAATGCCATGACAGGTTGCTTTTTCGAGCACCATGAGATTGACACACCAATACTTGAAAGAAGTAACTTGTTATGCTTCTTCGATCTTCCTTATCTCCGCACCAATCAGCCTCTATAAATTAATCACAACTTCTTTGCTTTCAAAATCTTGTCAAAATATGATTCCACAGTTCATTGATCATTTTAAGTATCTCAGGATTCTTCTTGCAGCCTTCATGTGCGACACCTTTAGTTCATCCATGCATCTGCTCACTAATCCGACTGAGAAGCCTATATCAGGCCTGCTATTGCAAACATACCTCAGAGATCCTACAATTTTCTTGAACAAAATAGCTTTGACCTTGTCCCCCTCTCCATGTTTCTCCAATTTCAAGTTTTATTCGACAGGTGAGGATGTAAGACTCGAGTTTTCCATCCTGAATTGCTTGAGTATTTCTTTGACATACTTTATTTGATGTAACCCCATATCTTGTTTCAAAATTTAAAATTCCATGTTTAGGAAATAAGATATTTTCCCAGATCCAACATTTCCAATTCCATATTCATCAGCTCTTTGAACTTCGACAAACTTTTCATGTTATTTCTCGTTACTAGAAAGTCATCGACATATAAGCAGGTAATTGTTATATCTTGTGACACAACCTGAACATAGACACAATACTCAAACTTGGATTTTATGAATCCCAATTCGGCCAAGTATGAGTCGATCTTCTTGTTCCATGCCCTAGGTGCCTGTTTGAGACCATATGGGGGTTTGTGCAACTTGTACACTTTCCTTGCTTCCTTCTGTATCACAAACCCAGGAGGTTGTGTAACATACACGATTTCATCTAAAAAACTATTTAAAAATTCTAATTTCACATCTACGTGAAATGTCGACCAGTCTTGCTCACATGCCAAGGCTACCACCAATCGAACAATCTAAAGTCTTTCTACTGGCTCATATACTTCAGAGTAGTCGAGTCCTGCTCTCTGAAGAAATCCTCAAGCTATTAATCTTGCCTTTGTCTTGTAATCGACCTATCAAGATTATGCTTTAGTTTGAAAACCCACTTCACTTCGATAGCTTTTTTGTGTGTTAGCAATTCGACTAGCTACCATGTATTGTTTCTTTCAATCGCTTGTAACTTTTCGACCATAGCTTCCTTCCACTGTTTATCTTTGAAGGCTTCGCTATAGTTTATTTGTTCAGAAACCGTAAGTAAAGCGAAATGAACCAAATCTCCATGGTGTGACTTCATCATCACCAACCACTTCACAGTCTTGAAGCCTGTTGGAAGTACTTTGGTTATTTAAGGTCTTTGTGCTAGCCACACCCTCTCGATTATCTGCCTCGAATTTGACTCTATTATCATCTTCGAACTTGATTATTCCGGAGTGTCATTAATTGGAATTTCTTCGTGCTCACAACTTTCTTCATCAACTCCATAGCTCATAAATGGCTTGTTAGTTGCATCACTTGAATTCCAATCCTAGGCAAAGTTC